TGTGTGCAAAAATTCAACTCTCTACTTTCAAAAATGCCTCCCCCACAGCCGCCAGAAGTCGAGACAGTCATTTCAATTTGTTCCAGAAAAAATCTCACCCGTGTTTGCAAAAAATTTTATTTGAATTTTCTGTTGAGGAATAGGAGTGAGATATGGGTGACAATTGACGAAGCACTATTTTCCCTACAAGTCACTAATTGGGTTTGAAGAGCTTACTACACGACAAATGCCGAAAAAAATTCACGAAATTTGGTGCTTCCCCGTGAGGAGAACTTTTGTAAACAGTTTATGGTTATGTGTGCAATGTCCTGTCGTGGTGCCCTCCCACTGATCAAAGTCCCCCAAAAAGTGAACGTATCTGTAAAGTATGATGTGGACCGTGTATTGAAACCACTTTTAGAATTACATTTTCCTAAATTGCACGGTAAATAAATAAATATGGCGATTTTTTATGATGACGCAGCGTCTTCCCAGACGGCAAAGTTAACCCAAGATAATGCAAAGGACCTTGAAGCTAGATTAGGAATAAAAATCATTTCGAATAGTGAAATACCTGTACAATCCCCCAATGTAAGTCAAATTGACTACTTTGAGTTCGGATACTTGAAAATTAAAATGTTTCTGCTGGGACCGAATTTTTTAGACGGAGTTTGGAAAGAGTTGAAATGACTGTCTCGACTTCTGGCGGCTGTGGGGGAGGCATTTTTGAAAGTAGAGAGTTGAATTTTTGCACACAACTATCTGAGGATAACATGCTCCTGTGTTCAAAATTTTGACCCGCTACGACAAACCGTTCCGGGGTTATTCAAGGTCAAATACGTTTTCAGCAACGTGCTGGACTCTCTGTATGTAAATGTCGAAACAAGAGGCAGGGTCTGCCCATTGCATTAAATTTAGATATGTTCAAATTTTCAGAAAGAAAGTGTTCAAATCTAGCATTCAATTGCATATACTTATGTATAAGAGAATCCCTCAAAATCACAAAAGATTTTACACACGTAGCGGAGAGAGAATGGCGGAAACTAGTGTCCTTCGAGAAACGACAATTATATTCGTCTTGCACAATGACCACAATTTTTCAGGGCGACTAGTCTTCCTCCTGAACTCAAATGTTTTACATAATACGACAATTGTCTTCGCTCGAATCAAAGAATTAAAGCTTAGTACTTAGAACGGAATCTTGACGCGAAGCGGCAGATTCTTCGATTTAAATTAAATTACTCCTTCACATGACTTCGGATTCCACTACAATGTGAACCAAACGGGAGTGTTTCTTCAAAGCAACTGTCAACTGTAAAGCATTGCCCAAGTTCCCTTGCCAAGTTTCGCCAAAAATCCGTCCTAAGTACTAAATAGGTTAAAGCTCTAACTAAATTCCGTCCAATTAACCTGAAATCATGCGCTAGCCCCTTTCAGATTGGGCCTCTATAATCGGAAGTTTTTCAAACATCGGTTTTGCGATTATTCGGATTTTTCAAATTGTCGTAAAACCGGTGTTCCATTAATTGAGGTTTGGGAAATCGTAGGAAGCCGGTGTTCGATTCCTTGCGCAAACCGGACCGGTTTAACCGATTTAAAACCGATTTTAAAAATCGGTTTTATTGCAAATTGTAAAAAGTTGACAAATATAATAATCAAGGAATGCAAAATTAAAATTAAATGTAAACTTAATACGGGATTACAGCACAACTACATAAATCTTATTTGAACAATTCAAAACAGAAAACATTAGCTCTTAAAAAGGCTTATCTTGGTAAACACCGAAAACCGGTGTTGAAGTTTTAAAAAAGTAGTTTTTCCGAAAATTGTGAAACCGGTTTTTCACAAAACCGGTTGTTGGAAAATTGTAAAACCAGTTTTCCGTTAAATTGAAAACCGATTTTAACATCTTCTATTGGAAAAGCCAATTCTGGATTCCCTACTTGCAAACCCCTCGAGACTCATTTGATAATCACGGAGTTCAATCTAGAGCTGCCAAATTTGGATACTTCGAATTCGAAAAATCAGGATTTTTCGAATGATTCGAAATCCGGTTTTCACTTCAGAAATGAATTCAGATTTCTGTAATTTAGAAACTTATTTTCACGTGCACTGCAAAAATATTTAATGCTGGGAAAAGTGCAAATAAAAAAAGTTTGTTCACGTTATTCATCCCAGGTAGTTATTTTACCACTAGCCTATAAGCCCGTCCTAAAGACGGGCCACATGAAACTATTTAACGCTGCTAAGGAATTTTGTCGACTTGCTAAGCAATTTTCTTGAAGTTGTTACGGAAGTTTTTTATGTTGCTAGGGAACTTTTTAAAGTTGCTAGGGAAATTTGTTTATGTTGCTAAGGAAATTTTTTTATGTTCCTAAGGAAATTTGTTTATGCTGGTAAGGAAATTTTTTTACGTTGCTAAGGTAATTCTTTTATGTTGCCAAGGAAATTTTTTTAACGTTGCTAAGGTAATTTTTTGAAGGTTGCTAAGGAAATTTTTTGTATGTTCCTAAGGAATTTTTCTATGTTGCTATGGAAATTTTTTTATGCTGCTAGGGAATTTTTTTATGTTGCTAGGGAAATTTTTTTATGTTGTTAGGGCAATTTTTTAACCTTGCTAAGGAAAATTTTTTATGTTGCCGAGGAAATTTTTTAACGTTGCTAGGGAAATTTTTTAACGTTGCTAGGGAAATTTTTTAACGTTGCTGAGGAAATTTTTTTATGTTGCCAAGGAAATTTTTATATGTTGCTAAGGAAATTTTTTTAACATTGCTAAGGAAATTTTTTAACGTTGCTAAGGAAATTTTTTTTGTTGCCAAGTAATTTTTTTGTGTTGCTAAGGAATTTTTTTTATGTTGCTAAGGAAGTTTTTTTAAGTTCTAATCATAATCATAATCATAATCATAATTATAATCATAATTATAATCATAATTATAATCATAATCATAATTATAATAATAATCATAATCATAATCATAATCATAATCATAATCATAATTCGTATCTGTTCCCTGATTGCTGGAGCAGGAAAACCAACAGCCAATCAGAATGCAGGAATGTCACGGAAAATTTCACGGGACGGACTTTTCGCAATTATAATATAGATATTCGATATCGAACTCACCATTTTCGAAATTTTACATTGTTTTTAGTCCATCAACTTAAAAGTATAGACGATTTCCATGAGCTATCGCCGGTAAAAAACATCTTATTTTTTTTATCGGTGTTTTAGCTCAAAAACCTGTTCACCGGGATTGAACTACTTGATTTAATCAGTTTTTAAAATTCCCATGACCCCCTTCGTGTAATGGCATGGGCGAAAGCACTACCTTTTTTGACAAAACTGGTCAACTTTCTCCCTTCGTTGTGAAGCAACCAAAAGGCCCACTGCGGGCAAACTTCGCACGGATAATCCTCAGGGCATGCTTAAAGGTCTTTCTGAAGCGCTAGGCTCTACTCGTACTCCATGACCTGAAAGTGACATGAGGTCAACGTACAAAGTTGGCTTATTTATCACCATTCTTGAAATTGCTCCCCCTAATTTTATAGAGACCGAGAAGCATTATTTATTTTCGGTTTTCCAGGTATACAGACGTTAACACTGGAGCAGATTGAGGGATAACACAGCAAAAGTCCGACGAAAACTCAATAATACTCATCGCACTCTAAATAATCGGGGAGTGGTCCCAGACCCCACAAAGTATATATATTCTGAATCCTCCCGCCAAGACCTTTCCAATGGTACCCCACTTATGGGGTTATGTGAGACTTGACCTACCGACCTTTTCTATCAGCACGCAAAATTTGTTGACCTTGGAAAAAATTGAAAATTTTTTGACGAATCTGAAAATACAGTCCATTCTGATCAGTTTTTAGCAAATATGAAGAAAATCTATCCAAAATTGAAGAAATTAGAGCAATTTCAAGAATGGTGATAAATAAGCCAACTTTGTACGTTGACCTCATGTCACTTTCAGGTCATGGAGTACGAGTAGAGCCTAGCGCTTCAGAAAGACCTTTAAGCATGCCCTGAGGATTATCCGTGCGAAGTTTGCCCGCAGTGGGCCTTTTGGTTGCTTCACAACGAAGGGAGAAAGTTGACCAGTTTTGTCAAAAAAGGTAGTGCTTTCGCCCATGCCATTACACGAAGGGGGTCATGGGAATTTTAAAAACTGATTAAATCAAGTAGTTCAATCCCGGTGAACAGGTTTTTGAGCTAAAACACCGATAAAAAAAATAAGATGTTTTTTACCGGCGATAGCTCATGGAAATCGTCTATACCAAGCAACTAATTACAGGGTCAAAAATTTTTAAACCATAATGAAAATTTCAAAAAAGCTTAATTTAGATTGAATATGATAATGCAAGTACTTGGTATCTATCAAACTAGTTGAAATATCAATAAAGTTGCTATATAATAACAATAAATAATTCAAATCCGGATTTAAGTCCGAATTTGGGCCCAGACGAAACCGGATTTGAAAATTAGGAACGAATTTGGCAGCCCTAGTTCAATCTCATGTCTTGAAATCAAATGTTACATGAGATTATGAATTCTTAAAAATACGTCTGAAATTGTAATCCTTTATTTTGTATGACACATATCAAAGTTGTCATTGGCTAATGGTCTATGCATTAAGAGCAGATTCGGGTTTAAAATTGTTAAATTGTTGATTAGCATAAGAACATCCGGAACATCCATACACTTTTCAGCACTTAATATGCATTTATCTTTCGGCGTGTGATAGGACAATTATATCTAGTGTATAGGACGTTCCGGTACGGCCCTTCGGGCCGTACGGCCTGGAGCCAGCGCTCCACCTAGAAGCATCGTCGGTACGGGCCTGGTGAAGCCTTTGGTTACGGTAACTGTAAGATAATTGGTTACAACAATTATATAATTAGATAATTAAGATAATAAGTTTCGTAAAAATTAAAATATCTAAATTGTTCCGAAAATACATACGTGTTGAAAGTTGTTTTGAGTATCTTATTCTTAAATAAATAAATAAATACAGGTATGATAATTCACACATAGCTTTTTATTACTAGAAAATCGATCAACGTTTTCTTAAATACCATATATCATGTCAACCGACATTCTAAATATGTCAGACGAATCGTAATTCAAAATTGTATTAGCTTCCGACGATTCCATACATCGTCCAACAATCGGCCGATTGTCCATTAATAAAAAATAATCCACTCAAAGATGCATTAAATAACATACATAAAACAAAAATTTCAACCCAAAAACCCCAGTACACTTAAGTACTTATAATCATTTAAAAAAGTTAAATAAATAAAAACAATTATTTGGTTAATGAAAATTAATTACTGAACAACCAGTCTTTTGAATACTTGTAGTATACATGACACAAATTAACGATTTTCTACCCATCCCTTGCTTTGGTATTGTTCGTGCAAAAATAAAGACAAAAAAATCTGAGAGGTTACCAGGCGAACGCGCAAAATATTATTTAGAAACAATTAAGAACTTTTGCCAATTTTAAAGAAAAATCAGTATTATTAATAGGCTTACATTCCAATTTCTTACATTTCGCTTAAGCTGACATTAATCAGAATAGCCCTCAACCGTGTCACAAATTTTATGAACGTTCCTTTTAACTTAATCTTTGGTAACTTTTGCACCTTCTCCAACAACCACTTCATCCAACTCGATCATATCGGGATTTTCCTCATCTCCACTCCCACCTTGTTTCACTTCTTCATCCGATGGCTTTTTCACTTTAAATTCTATTCCGAACACGTCCTCAATGCTTGGGTGGGTCCCTTCTCCTTCCGTTAAGGCATCGAAATTAATTGTGTCCACGTTTTCAATGGCGCCATCTGCCGCCGCGTCGAGGAGGCGGTTCTGGTCTTCCGGCTGGTCGGGAATTGGCGTCATCTTTTTTGAGGAATGACTCGTTTTTAGCAAATTGTGAGAGGAGGCGGAGGCATGAAGGGCTGGGTCGGATGGTGGCACGACGGCGGCGTTCTTTTCTGAGACGATAACGTTGCTGGTGGACCCTTCGAAAGGGGACTCTTTGTAGGCTTCGGAGGCTACTGTGTGAGGCAACTCGGGTGGCACGATTTCGTCCCAGTACTGGTCTTTTAGTAGCTCTGGGATTTCTTTATGCATCCCGTCCACGATTAGGTAGCCAACCTGGGAGTTTATGAAAGGAATAAAATAAAGATTAGTGGGGAGTTCCATTTAACACTTTAGTAAAACATTTATCTGCGTAACAACTTTAAGGGGAGTTACACAATTTAAACCAAACATGTATCTGCATGAATAGAGTTCCTAAATTAATAAGCTGCCTTAACCCTCGCGATAAAAATTCGAGATCCCAAAATTCAAAGGTTCCTGATCGAGTTTCAACAGGCAATACATAAGCTTGGTAAATTTAATTTAGTAAACTAAATTTTACAAACTCTCAGAAAATAAAAATATGCTCTTGACCTCAGAAAGTTTATACAACTTGCTACGATAATTTTCCTTAGAGATATGAGTGCAATTTTCAAAGTAAGATTTCCTAAGTTTACGCAAGATACGGATTTTACAAGTTTACAAAGGATTGTGTGAATTGCCACATTTAACCATGTTTAAAGAATACTTTTGTGTTACTAAAGTCTGACAAAAAATCAAACCCTTCGCCATATCCAACACATAATTGCAATTGCAATACATACATATATTAATATATTTATATATGTAGTGACAGCAATTAAACAAAGCAATACAATTTTTACCTGCAAGTTCCTGTCCACAAACCAATTAAGCTCAAAGTCGTCATCATCATCACCAAACGGATTAAGCAGAGACTCCGCCGTTTTCAGCCATCCCATATAAAAGAGAAACTGCAATATGGTAAAAAACGGGAGAAAGATATCCAACTCGTTCCACTTGTCTTCCGTCTCCGCTGAGGAACTATTTTTAATCGCTCCTTCTCGATTAAACAGCCACTGCCGCCCCATCAAACAGCTCAAAAAATATGAATAAACCGCCAGCGTGACGACCTGTGTATAAACAAGGGGGACACTTATCCAATCATAGCTTATCAACATGTTCAACTGATCCTTTAATTTTGTCAGCTCCGTCAGTAAAATGTTTGCTACTGAATCGTTCTTGATTTTATTTTCGGCACGTGCCCTCGTCACAATTCCCGCCGCCCAGACGAGCGGGATCCAATTAGTTTGGTATTTTTTGTGCAGGGAGGCGGAGAGATCTTGGATTATTTCTTTTTCATTGGGCAGCAGAAGCCCACCTTCGACGAGATGGTCCATTGTTGGGAAACGTTTCTTGACACGGGGACAAATTAGGATGAAACATTGGACAATGGTTAGGTTTGCGTAGCGGATAAGGGTTCGCCGAAGGAGGCGGTCCTTCTCCCGGTTGCCGCGAATATTTGCGTTGATCCAGATCGCGAGGGTGTCAATCCAGGGAATATTTTTAAACTGTTCCCACCAACGGCCGACAACCAACGAGACGTAGAAACCTATAAACGGAAAGATAACGTTTATTTTGCGAAAATTGGAGAAATATGTAAATGGATGCCGGAGTAATGGTGTAAGTTGCTTTCAAATTTAGTTGACAATACAAAAAATACATAAAATTTACACATTGCATTAATTGCAATTTTTCAATGGGAATTTTTTGCAGCAGTGTGTATGTATTGCATACTTACGATTAATTTGTAGTTCAGAACAAACAGATTGTTACTACTTATTTTTAAGAGTGCACGTCTATAAATTTGCATAACCTTAGTTGTTTACATACGTCGGTACAAACACAAAGTAATCAATTAATACCAACCCAGCACAAACGAGATTGGGATAAGGCTTCCATGCTTATCGCAGTAGTAGCTCACTTTCTCAAACATATCTTGTTGATGGGGTGTTAACAAGAACCGATAAGTCATCGTGAGGGATAAGTATAAACCCAAGAAAATTAACAAATCACGCCACACAAGTTTGTAAATGGAACCACGCCACTTGCACAACAGTTTTAGAAAGCACCCAAATTGTAAGGCAGACGAATGGACGGACGATGTATAAGTCACCGTCATTTTTAAATGGGATTATTTAACAGTTAATTTTTATGTACATAAATTTATTAAACACATTTGACTATTTTTTGACCGGATGTATTATGAATGTTTCGATGACACTTCGAGTAACTTCAAGTTATAACATGCATAACAAGATCACATGTAAAGTTAACTTGTGTGTAAATTTATTTGAACGGTTTTAAAAGAATGGATTATTAGTGATGTCTTATTTTAGCCACGTAACCATGAGTTTTAACGTAACAAGATGAAATATAAAGTGTTTTTTTTATTGTTGGACTACTTTTTTTTAAAAGAGTGAACTTTTTTAATTTTTGGCTTTGCTGTTAGAGTTTTAAAGTAACAATTTTACATATTAAGTTAGTTTTTATGTAAATTTATTACACCATTTCTTAAACAACGAATTATGAATGATGTTTCGTTTTGGCTACGTAACTATGCGCTTTAACGTAGCAAGATCACATGTGAAAGTGAAAAGAAGCCAGACTTGAGTTTGTGACTGTATCGATCATACTTACGGTAGGTGCATACCAACGTGCATATAAGATTACTTTTGTCGGGTGGACAAAAAAATCGCTCCAGGCCGGTTAATCTCCAAAGTGGACGAGTAGGTATGTAATCGCATGTTTATTTTGGCATGGAAATGCGTGTCATGCAGACGTGAAATATTGTAATTTTTTTTATCTTTTACATACTCTGATTTACACACACACAGCAGTGATTGCAAGCTGGTCTTGTAATGTATTAAAATTCTGCTAAACATGCAGATAAATGTAATGTTAGGAAAATGGTATGAATCTATTAGATATTCATCACAGGAGTGAATATTTATATGTACAGGGTATGTACAGGGTTTCGATTGGTAAAAACCAAATTCACAAGGGCGGCGGGAAAAGTGGGAAAAAGGCATTTTTACCACCCACCCAAAATGGGTGGGAAATGGGAAAAATGGAAGAAATGGGAAAAACTATGGTTTTGGGGCAATCCGAAGCAACTTCTTTAAAACTTAAGATTTCCAAAATTTGACTTTATATTCGTATTCTCCATCAAATTCTGAGAAAATTAGTCGGTAATACGGTTCAATTCGAACAATCTCTAAAATTAACATGTATTCATATGGGAAAATTGGAAAAATAATTAAAAATGATCAAAATTTTCAGAAATTCGTGGAGATGACGAATATGAAGTCCAATTCCGAAAATATTGATTATTAAAGAAGTTAGCTTTCCCCATAACTAAATACATGGGCAGCCATATTTCCCATTTTGGACGGTAAAAACCGTTTGTCCCGGTTTTTACCAGTTTTTCCCACCTGCCATGGTAAAAAATCGTTTTTGACGGGAAAAACGAAACCCTGGGTATGTATGTATGACAGGTAGAAAATGGTATTCATAGCAGTGCAGCATGTAAGACAGGCTTTATTGTAATGAGATGACAAATACCTAGAAAAGCTTATCCAACAATAATTGATCCTGTTGGCATGTGGGGCAGAATTTATGAAAATAGTATGTATTACAGAAAACCACGTTTTGAAACAATATATATCCTGCATTTATTCCGGAATTTCGTGGGCCGCATGCCGATGTTTACATAGATTACAACAGGAAATAATTTAAACTTCATGGTCGGTTTCACTACAAGTGTATGTTGTGATTTTGCCGAAATTCCCAACATTCTAGGGAAACTTTTTTTTCTACTAATGATAGGTTGAAGTTCGGATAGACGGTACTTAGCTTACTAGATGTGTACATATGTTTACATACGGTTGAATTGTGCGTTTTGAAAGCGTTTTGAAATAAATATGTATGTAAGTAGTGACGTGATAAAGCAATTAAAAACCAAAAATTTATTCATATGCGTATTTAGCTTTTATCCCCACCACGGTGATGGGAATGTAATACTTTGTTATTTCTGATATTTCTATGAATATTTGTTACCATTATTATTCAAATGGCAAATAATGCCATCCTTCCGACACGTATGTATGCCTACGTAGATATGTATATGTAATTAGTTATGAATCTGTACATGACTCCATCTTTAACTCTCCACTAATAAATACTCTCCTCTGTCTCCTCTCACTGTGTACCACTTATTTATGTATAATCATATATACATAACATTGGTGGACCGTCGAGTACTTTCTTTCGCTCCTCCCACTCACAATGGATTTTAAAATTTTCAAAATTCTTCGCAAGACATATTACCTACCAAATTTGCTACGACTGCGACGACTAAGAAGCTTGACCACCGCCCCTTAGAGCATTGTCATTTTGCTTCCGATAGGGAAACTTCCCAAATCTCTCTTCTCAAAACCTTGTGTAAACTGTGTGATTTTCCTGTGAAACTTTTTTTGTGAATTTTCGTCATCTGGTCTGCAAATTGGATTATCCTCCCGGATGCTATCAGGTCTGTAAATTGGTTCTAAACCACCCTGAAAATCTTCCCCCATTCTTAAAATTTCCAAATCTCCAGTCCAAAATTTACATTTCATAATTCGAGCAAATATGCAAAATTTAAAATTCCGTTATTTGTTTTAAACACGTCAAAAAAAATATATGCAAAATTGTCCTTCAAAATTGTTAAAAAATCGTAAAAATATTGTAAAAAAATTCCGTTTAATTTCTGAAAAATTTTCATCAAAATTCGTTCAAAATTTGCAAAACTTTTGCATATTATATAAAAAAACAGTCATTTTTATTCATTTCGTCTGGAAAAGTGTCCCAATTTTTTATCAAATGTTGTTGCAAAAATGTAATCTGATTCACCTTGTCTCAAAATTCTGCTGAACTTTTATGCTCGATCTGCGTTGTCACCACTTTCCCAGGCTGAGAATGAAATATCACGCCTTGAGATTAATGTTTGTAATGAGCAACGTCCACATATTATTTGCGTGTTCAAGTATGGAAATCCACATTGTACATAGTTCCCCTTTTTTAACGAGTCACGGTTATGGGTCACCCACACAAAACCCTGCGTCTTCGAGTTGTCCGGTTATGGGTCACCCAGAGAAAACCCTCACAAGTCTGCGTATTTATGTATCTCCGATGTCCCGATGGACCACATACCACGACCATAAAAATGTATTTTTCTTTGTTCATCGTTTTGTCCCAATCTGCAAGTTTTATATGAGTCAACCACCACCACGCCTGAGATGACACAATTCCACCACCGATTGCGAGCCATACCATCTTCTCAAGTTCCAGCCCTGCAAAATTACTGCGTCATTCGATATGTGTATTAAATTGTTCAGTGTTATTCATGCAAAATCTTTGTTCATGTTTGTTTTCCGGAGTCATTTCATATTTAATTTTTCCATGAATTTTACCTATGTCTCCAACCCTCAAAATTTCTAATTCAAATTGTGACTACTGAAATTTTTAGTTTGCAAATCTACACACTCTTTCAGACTATTTTTCAGGAGAAAAATTTTTTCGTGAGAGGGTAGTGTTAGGTATATGTATGCCTACGTAGATATGTATATGTAATTAGTTATGAATCTGTACATGACTCCATCTTTAACTCTCCACTAATAAATACTCTCCTCTGTCTCCTCTCACTGTGTACCACTTATTTATGTATAATCATATATACATAACAACGTCTTATCCCATGTGCACTGGCGGTTCGTCGGGTTCGATAAATCCAAACCCCTTCTCATCATTGAACCATTTTACCGTATCTGCTAGTCTTAAATTGTAGTTAGGAAACCCCCCCTGGTTGAAATAATTGGGCCTTCCCAACCCCCTCCACGTCCAGAGTATGGCGAGCTGAAACAGTTTATCGACACACGTTAATTTCAAAAAGAGGCGATTAAGATAATCCGAAATTATTAAATTGAGGAGGGAGCATGCATATATTATGTCATGAAAAATGTGATTGGGTGATTTTAGGTTGCTTATCGTACTTAAGTGCAGCTTAACATGAGTAGGATAGCAAAGGGGTGTAAAAATCGGTTTTTTAGAACGCAATATGTGCATGTTCCCGGACACGGGGCAACACTGAAAATATTTAAGGATGCGCTTATAGGAAAAGCACATCCGAAACGGACTCCTTAAAAAATAAGAAATACACTTCTGAAAAGTAACTGCAATCAGAGCCAACTTTGTTATTTTTACAAGAATGACATGCACGACATATTTTTAAGAGGCCTGGCCGATAGGGGAAAAATGCTGGGTTTTGATTTACAATAATATTTAAAACACGGTAATCTCACCATCCGCCGAATATCATGAAAGGCATCTGCCTGGATCTCCGGGTACGTTCAATTCCCACGTTTATAATTTCGGACTTTAGTCCGACTTCAATAGGATTTTGATGTTGTAACTTGTCCAGGAAAATATTATCATTTAATTTTTCTTAGCTTTCCCTATGAGCAAAATTTGTCACCGTTGATGTCCGTGTTGTCAGAGTGAGAGGGGTGGCCTGCTCACCAAGCGGATAGGAGGATACACTTCCCGACAAAATGTAGGTTAGGGCGAGTACCTAGAAATTGAATAAAATATATCTATATTATAATTTCGAAAAGTCCGTCCCGTGAAATTTTCCGTGACATCCCAGCATTCTGATTGGTTGCCGGCTTGCTGGCTCCACCAATCACAGCACGGCTACAATTTGAGTTACAACATGTGGTACAACATTTGGTACAACATTTGGTACAATATGTGGTACAACAATTGGTACAACAATTGGTACAACAATAGGTACAACAATTGGTACAACAATAGGTACAACAATAGGTACAACAATTGGTACAACAATTGGTACAACAATATGTTCAACAATAGGTACAACAATTGGTACAACAATTGGTACAACAATATGTACAACAATAGGTACAACAATTGGTACAACAATTGGTACAACAATTGGTACAACAATTGGTACAACAATTGGTACAACAATTGGTACAACAATTGGTACAACAATTGATACAACAATTGGTACAACAATTGGTACAACAATTGATACAACAATTGGTACAACAATTGATACAACAATTCGTACAAGGTAGGGTACAAGTTTGGGTACATCTTCAGTTACAATTTCGAAAAACTTAAAACGTTAGACACAATCCTTAGCAACGTTAAAAAAATTCCTTAGCAACGATCAAAAAATTCCTTAGCAACGATAAAAAATTCCTTAACAACATTAAAAAATTCCTTAGCAACGTTAGAAAAATTCCTTAGAAACGTTAAAAAACTCCTTTGCAACGTTAAAAATATTCCTTAGCAACGTTAAAAACTTCCTTAGCAACGATAAAAAAATTCCTTAGCAACGATAAAAAATTCCTTAGCAACGTTAAAAAAATTCCTTAGAAACGTTAAAAAAAAGTCCTTAGCAACGTTAAAAAATTCCTTACCAACGTTAAAAAAATTCCGTATAAGGCCGGCAACCAATCAGAATGCAGGATTGTCGTAGAATATTGAACGAGACTTTTTGCAGGTTTAATATATTTAGATGTAGTATGTTTCTTCTGGAATTATAATTTCGATACAGATTAATACATCACATTATATAATGCTTGCATCTAATGATTTACGTTTGTTGGCTTAAAACTTTAATGGTGGACCGTCTTTAAGACGGGCTTATAGGCTAGTTTTACATAATTCTCAAAATTCAAATAAATTTGGAAGAATTTATTTTAATTACAAATTTGTAAGTTTAAAATTTTAAACAATTTCTTCATAAGAAAATCTCACCATTATCTTTAGATGACTCATTTCAAAACTTTTGCGTGAACAACCTGTCGGTCATGCAGGGATAAAGCTTCTGTCGAAAAATATATTAGCTCCGTTTCCTTTTATACGTTTCTTCTGTTGACAAGGAGAGTAATAATGAAACTCGTTTCATTACTTTGTTTCTAAACTTTGGGTCGATAAGTCAACTATGTTAAATTTTGCGGATTTGGAATGCGATTTATGTAGGTTAGAAAAACAAAACGTGTACATTAATCAGTAGCAGTTCCCAATCCAATTAAATAAGCTTGGCCCTTTCTTTACCTTTACCGATTATTTTATCTTACTGGGGATACGACTCACAATTATTTTAAAATCTCATCAACAATGTTGCTTAAAAAGGTCATATAACCAGATTCGCCGTGTTGAGTTAACTAGTATAAACATGTTATAAGTGCAAAATAGATATAGATTTAAGACCACCACACTTATTATGTAAACCAGTTCTCTTCTGTCTTGTTAACGTCAGGAAGGCATTGTTTACCTCAACAGCGGTATGGGTTACAACTCCCTTTCTTGAACTTGTAGTTTGGTTGGCAGCAAGTTGAAAAAATGCATGCGTAAATCTGGGAATAAGTGACTTCTAGTTAATGATCTGCCTACAAATTGTGTTGAGGATGAGACAAATGAGTGTGTAAACAATCGAAATAAAATATTGCAGCAGATTGCTATATTTCGATTAGACATGCACCGAGTACTCGGCAGGTTTTGGCCGTGTTCTCACTACTCGGACTCGGCCGAGTATTTTTGCGTGCTCGGCCTAGTATTTGTTAAATTTTTGTATGCATCCAGTATCACTTTACCTGGCACTTATACCCCGCCGTTCAAATTATCCATCATGTGATTTTTGCAATCAAAATCAAATTTACTCGAAAAATACACCCATGGAATTTGTTAATTCTATCCGGTAATCAACTTTAATCGCAATGTTGGCACATGAGGAATAATCAGTAGCTTCCCGTGATTCCGTCCACCAGTTCTTAAAATAAAGGTACTGGTAATTAAATATTATGGAAACAATAATTTTTTTGATGATCTTTTTGACAATTTGCTCGGCAAACGAGCGGAAACGAGTACTCGGCAAAAAAAATATAGCCGAGTACTCGGTGCTTGGCCGAGTTGACTTTTTCGGTACTCGGTGCATGTCTAATTTAAAAAAATTGTAATCAGATTTAAAAAAAAAGGTTTAGACGTACAAGACTCTGTATATGTACACACCTACAACTTTACTGTATTGGTTATATAACACAGAACTACCGGTGTTAAATAAATATGTAACCACGCTCATGAAAACGCTAGCTGTACATATGTACGCAAAATGAGCGTAATTAGAAAAGTTTTTCCAACAATAATTGGTCGTGTTAGCATGTGGGGCATTTATGAAAATATTGTGCCTTATAGAAAACCACGTTCTGAAAGAATTTCCTGCATTTATTCAGAAATTGCGTGGGCCACATGCCGAAGTTTACAACGGGAAATAATTTAAAGTTCATGGTCTGTTTCACTACAAGTTTTTGTTTTGATTTTGCAGATATTTACGATACTCCAGGTAAACTTTTTGTTTAACTAATGATAGGTTTAAGTTCCGAAAGACGGTATCTAGCTTACTAAATGTGTATGTAAATGTAAGTACGGTCGATTTTATTAAATTTTGTCAAAAATGTTTAAAGAAAGTTTGAGTTAATTGGATTTTCTACTAAAAAATGTACGAAGTATAGTTTTAGGGGTTTTGCCTGATAAGCTTTGAACTTAATGGTACCGAAATAATTAGTTCACATTGTAAATAAAAGAATTTAGCAGGCTCATGAATTTTCTCCAACTGTGTGACGTGGCTATTTTCTACTAAATTAGGAATCTCATCTCTGCGGGATTATTTTTTGCAGAAATTAACGGTCACCTGAATGAAATTAGGGTAAACTGCAATAAATATTTGCTTGTACACTGGTATTATTGTATTACCATAAATCGGTATCCAAACAAAATTATCTACGAGATTTTTTTAAAATTAAGGTACCAGAAGAAGAAAGTCCCCTAGAAACGGGTTGGGTTTGCCACCAATGTCTGCGTAATTTATCTGGGCACAATTTAAGCACAAAACCATAATTTTAGGATAATCGGTTCATGAGTTGCTAATTTTTGAACGAAACTAAATCGTTGGTCGGTTGCAGTAAAATTTTCAGACTAGCATTAACCTGATCAAGTTAGTGTTGCATTTAAAAAAATATCTAATTATTTTACTCCAACGTTGCTTCAAGGGTAAAATTTTCAAAATTACATAAACTGTCGAAATCGGGGGGACAAACCCAACCCGTTTCTAGGGGACTTTCTTCTTCTGGTACCTTAAAGCTAAAAGAAGGGAAATTTTGAATTTGAACCCATCCCAAAGACTTTCATATTTATTTGGGGAACTGCTTATATTGTAACCTATGTAATATGGCAGATAAAGGTGTACTATATTTACTCTTATGTGCTATTGGGAATTGTACGATTGTAGCAATAATTTCGGTTGAAAATCGCATTACCAAAATGCACGTGGCCCCACTTAAAGTTGAACTCGGAGACTATTTGACACCCTTTGAGAACTGCACGGCCATAGTAATGATGCCGGAAAACAGGACAATTAGATTTTCAAAATTGAGCAAGAATCCGATCGTTTTAACCAACAAGACTTGTGACGATACTGCAAAATTTGAATTATTATTTTCCATCCAAAGGCGCCGAAATCCATCAAGACATTGCTGGGCATTGTTTGCAGTATACCCAGAAGCTGATTACCTGATAACGTACGAACAAGATCGCAACAATCGCGCATTTATCAGGGAAACAGTGAATCATCAATACTTGATATTGTTAACGAGTTTCAAATCCGCAATTCAACATAGCCTGAAAAACAATTTGCGATTTTTAATGGAAATTGGGCGACGTGAAGTAATAGTTGTGGACATTTTACTTGACGGCCAGGGCACTCTGAGACCAGTTCCATATGACGGGCGACTTCGGCTTGAGTATCACAATGTAAATCATGACCCAAATATACTAATGGACGATGGGAAGCCCTCGATACCCTGGTATCCAATAGAATGTTTAAATTATGATCGAGCCGATTGCTTCGAAAAGGTGACAAGTATTGGTAAAGCTACAGCAAATTTAAATAAACACCTTTTAGAAATAAGGGAAGCCATTAGTTTTGACCCTTCAAAGAAACCAATAGTTTGTCATATTCCCGTCAAATCCCGTCAAATATATCAAAAGCTGTCTGATTCCAGAAGGTTTACTGAATTTATTGGACATTTGCTAGTAAGTGACAGTTGTCACAATGCTTCTGCCCGCTACACAACTCCGGTCATTAGCAACGTTGCCACGCAATTAAGCTTTACGACGCCAATTATCGAAAGCGTTCGAGACTATGGCTTCATTTCTTGTTATATGGTGAAGCCAGACACATTTATTCTAAGTGCCTTATCAGATCCTTTTGACATGGAAACATGGATTTCGTTATGCGTGGGGTTCACAGTTTTTGTAGCCATATTGACGATATTGCCGGGTCAGCTGGGTTGGGCTGGAATGTTATTCGCAACTGGAATATGTCTCGAAAATTCAGTGCTGGATGGAGAGAATCTGTTTCGGTCGAGATTTCCAAGTAAATCCGACATTCAGGGGGTTCGAATCTTAATTGCAGTTTGGGTTGTATTGACTGGCACGACGCTGACGAATTGGTATAAGACCTCATTCACAATGGATATGATTGTCCCAGTTAAATATGATCCACCTTGGGATACATTTCTGGATATTGAAGGTGCGCAAGTCCTTATGCCGTTCGACCTTTTGGACGAAACTGGTTTGCTTGCCATCGGATACTTTGGAAAATTCCGACACCTGACTTTCCTGAATCATGTACTCCTTAGAGTCGACCCATTTGTTAACTATCAGGGGAACTACAGCGTATTTAAAGGGTATGCAAGAATGGCACAACTTTTGAAGGGTATAATACCCTTGTTCGAGTTTAGCATACCGGCTCTACAAGCTCAAGGGACTACCCTTAAGGCCTATACCACGAAACAAGAGTCGATGTACCTTAACATATCACAGCAACAATCACCAATTAAACCAATTGATTATAATGAAACGGATCGACTAGTGAAGACATTAGCGACCTGTGTAAAGGTAGCGTTTCTCGACACTAAGGAAAATATTGCGTCGATACTCCCTTTTCTGAATGATAATCAATACAACGTGAAATATCTTCACGGAGAAGATTCGTTTTTCAGAGTAACTCGTGGCTGGGAAATATTTCCAATCCGGGAAAATTATGCCGAGAAGCGCCTCAAGATTTTGCTATCGTCCGGAATATATCTCCACTGGAAATCTTGGTTTAGATTGGTTAAACCTCCCAAATTGTTTCATCACTATGCAAATTGGACGTATCCAAGATTTGATAAGGGATCACAATTAGATTATAATTCAAAAATTGTGACAGGGTTCTATGCTTCTGGAATTTGTTTAGTAGGTTGTATACTGTGCTTTGCGTTTGAAGTATGGATTGTTTCCAGGGTCAAAGTATTAACAAAATTGAAATTGAGTTTGAACTCGACATCGGAAAAGTTGTTGAACAGATAGAAAGTACATGCATACAAAATCCACCTGTGTATGCGTACACCTTAGTTTAGTTTAGTTTAGTTGTCCTTTATTCGTGTGTCAATAAATATCAGTTAAATAAAACTGGTTTACAATTCATGACACTATAAGCTAATTCTCTGAATAAGCATGTATATAACTAGTATTATAATAAATAGATTTACATTAAAGTAAACAGTTTGGGATTAAATTTGGATTAATTGTCCATTAGAATAAAAACAGAAACCCAATCGATTGAGAGGTCCACATTATCAATGTTAAGTCACCAGGTAAGGTGACGACTTACTTAACCCATTCCATATCGCTCAAAATTATTTATACAAAAATCATACTTATATTTAAAACATTCGATTGTATAATGCATTTCATCAAAG